CACTGGCTATTATGCAAAAAATACTAGCCAGAGCTTTCGACTTTAGTTACTCAATATTTGTTTCCAACGTCTTCTTAAAATATTTTATTCTTAGCTTGGTTTTTGAATAAAATTATAAGTGGACGAAATAATTGATCATTGCGAGCATGCTCTTAAAGTGAAGTTGTAATACCAAAGTACTTGTACTAACGAACCAAATGACACAAAATTCTGTTGAAGAAGAGAAAAGTCCTCTCAAATAATCTGAATATTCTACTATTCGTGTATTGACTGATGTAGTACCTAGGTACGGATGAAAGCACGTCAAGCTAGTCTGTGGTGTCTTATGTAATTTGTAATAGGGGTTATTTTGCATTAAAATTATCTGCAATTTGTACAGTCGACAATATACAACTGATAGACTTACGCCCGTATTCACAAACGATACTTGCTTAAGTGAAGCAGCAAATCGAACGTACAGCATTGAATAGAGCTCTGTGATTGGTTCATGTGTCACCCTGTGCGTCCACGCGCACTGTAAGACCTCATAGTAATAATTGTGAATACAGGCGTAAAATTACAAAATAATACTATTGCAAGCATAAGATAGGTAGGTAAATTCGTATAGTTACAGCCTACGCGATATAAAAATAAGAAGAACTTAACCTAAACACTTCACGACCTATATTTAAAGATGAAACGAATCCAGAAGTAGGTACCAATAAGTATCAAAGTAGTTTCAATTTCATAGTGATTAAAAGTTTTATCCTACAGCGATAAATTACTCGTCAGCTTTTTGCCGGCTAATGAAAAAGTATTGTACCTACTTCAGACTTTCAAGTTCTTAGAGAGCTTTTAAGGAGAATACTGATTCTTATGTAGTATAATAATAAAATACGTGCATGCAGGTTTACGCCTTGGGCCCTTGGATTTCTACTTAAAATCATAGTCTCGTTATTCTTAGCGAATTAAATTATGTGGCTAACCGCTGGCTGGTATAACATTGTTTGAGCATCCATAAATAAAATGGTAGCACGAAAAAATATTACCTTATGCAATATTTGAATTAATCGACTGAAAGCTCTTTATAGAGTAAAAATTCCCCAGGAGTTCTATTTTTCCTAATATTTTTGTATTTTCCTAGTTTTTTTATTTTTACGAAAATAATTATGTAAAATTTATCAAAATTATTCTCTATTATTATTTTTATGTTCATAAAGATAGTTGCTTTTAGTGACCATAACCATTCTTGGGATAAACCCAATACCCTTTCTGAAAGCCAAGAAACCATGTTGGAATAATCCGCCATGGGCACGGCTGCCCCATGCTCATGTTACGAGCTATCAAATTTCCATAACGGTTCCCGGAATAATAATTTGTCTATGCTAATCGACTGGAGGATGTTTGTTTGTAATGGGTCATTGACTGAACGGATTCTGAGAAGCATTTTAATAAAGCTCTTGGATTAAGCTTTAATATTTCCGAAAGAATAATATGTCGGTTTTAATAAGAGTAGAGTAACAGCTTCTGAGAAAAGCATGAACTTCCTGTTGAGAGTAAATGCAATAGATTACAATGAATATATAAATAAAATTGACTATAAAGGACTCCAGAAAAACTGTGTCCAAAAATGCATAGTTAGTGAATTAGTGGAAAAAGAGAAACAAGTGCAACCCAGTTTTTCGAGCACCATTGGAATAGCACAGTGTTTTCAAACGAAGAAAGTGTCTCAAGAAACCTAACAACATACAAAAAAAAAACATTGAAGATCTATACATGACCGATTGCGATGTTTAATGACGATATTAACCGAACTATGTAGATGAAAGCGTATACAGAACTTTTAGTGCGCAAACCAGCACGCGCTTGACCAATTTATTCATAATTAACGATCATCAAAAACTTACCAGAAANTAATTTGTGATTTCTTATTGTAAAATGCTTAAATCTCGAAATTTTCTCAGATAACTATTTGCCCAAGGATCTATGCTATAGGATATAAATGTTTTTAAATCGTTTTCACAGTATTTTTATAAAAATGTCAGCTTGTAAACTGACGCTAAAGTGGAAATTTACAAAACCTGTGTGGACTTATCTTGATAGAATTCTTAAATACTAAACTAATCGCAATATTTTCTCAATTAACTATTTAGACGACAAAATTGCCTAACTATTTATGCCTGTAACATATTTGTAGTATTACCTACTGGTTAATGATTGTAACGAGTTGAAAAAGTACTGTTTTTGCGCCAAACGGCGAAAAACGCTCTTAAATAATTATCTTTCAGGCGCAGTCAGGTAAACATGACTAGCGATAAGTTTGGAGTAAAGGTGCCAGTAGATATTTGTTGATGAAATCAGTGATTTGAAAGTAATTTAAATTAATCTATTGATCCCCTTCGAACTTATAATATGTAAACAACCCTTTGAGACAGCCAGTCAATGAGCAAAGTGAAGTCAGTTCGAAAACATTATTTGACATACTGAATTCCTAAGTCATATTTTCCCTCCGAAAGAATTCACTGGAATTCCTTCTTCCAAAGCCGTACTTAAAGGCAAAAGTTTTGGCCCTCCTTTACATACCTACAATAAAACAATAATGCGATATCCCTTACCCCGAGATTTCAGGGGAATGTCCCTGAAGTTAACTGAACTCTCTCGGTAACTGTACCTCTAGCACAAAATACATTCGTTTTCGAATCGTTTGGAATTCAACCTTTTCACTACCACCGAGAAATTTCATAAATTCGATAACCTTCAAATTCATTGACAACGTGACTGACGTGACGATCTCGATTGTCAAAAAGTTTCGTGCTACCATTTTTCATAGGTACTAAGTTCACTATACGTCACGTCACGTAACATAAACGAAAACAAAATTATTTAGTTCTCGTTACGGCTCGGCCGTGGGGGCACTGTTAAAGTTTTCATACCTAAGCTGAGTCGCACTACCTTAATCTGTCGAACTCCACACAAAAAACACCGGTTATTGTTAAAGAAAGTTACGGTTAAAGTAATTCGGTGCAACTCAAACTAAATCTTTTTATGGCGATTCGATTACGGAAACGATTCGTAGACGAAAGTTTTTCGTGCTATAGGTTTTGAAACCAAGCAATACTTTCCTGGTAAAGTTCGTACACCTAAGATTTTCTGTCAATGAACAATGTTTATTAGGGAGTTTGCGAGATTATACCACGAATTTTCCTCTGCTTAATGTAAGACACGTGTTGTCAAAGTCGTGTGATGTTAGGATTTAAGGCCCGGATTCCACCATAAAGTTAATAATATACCTAGCGGCATAGAGCTACAACAACTAATATATAAGCACCCATAACACAAGCATTAAGTTGCTTACTTTGGGGCTAGCTGGCGCTGTGTGAAATTGTGTGAAACTGTGCGAACGAGATGTCGCTAGCAGCAATACTGTGTGATAAAAAGAGATGCGTGATGCCGTCGCCGTCACGCCAACAGAACCGTTTTTTGCAACTATTCGGTTTCGTTTGGCAGCTCGTGGTTGTTGCTCTATTCTGAAGGAATATCTGGGGGCACGGCAGTGCCGCCAAGTCGAGCAAAATTAAATTTACAGTTTCCACACCAAGGCGGAGCGGTACGGAAACGAGAGATGTGTGGCGAAGCTGCTATTTCCACCAAAGCGGAACGAAGAAGAGCGGAGCGGTGTGGAGACGATAGATGTGTGAGCTGTGCGTAGCTGTCAGCTGTCAGTCTATTGCTATCTATGAAACACCGCGCCTCGCCGTCGCCGCTGTCAAATTCTATAGAAAAACAAGTGCGCCCGACACTTCACCGCTTTTCTTCGCTCCATCCATTTCCACCGAACGGAGCAGAGTAAAGATTTGCAAATAATGGAATCTGATTGGTTATTCAAAAAACTTCTCCACTCCGCACCTTGTCTTGGTGGAAGCCAGGCCTTTAGCCTCGCGATAATAGTCGTCCACCTCACGTGTTGTTCAATATCTGCCGAATCCAAACTCGTACTTTGACACAATGTGGTACATTTACCCCATAGTAAAATAATACAAGGTTAACAATCGTCCGCTTTGCACTCGAGGGAAATCGATACTTTCTTTGAACTCACATTATTTTTTTATTAATTTCGTTTTCCCAATAATTGTTTTTTTTTATTTGTACCTAAATACAAATTAATAATCCCGTTAAACCTCCGTGGTAAGTTTACCACTTGCTAACTATGCTTTAAACTTAGCCTTCATTGATTTGGTTTTTATTGACGTCAAGCAGTAGATTCTGGTTACACAGGAGTGGCGGTGGGAACGAGAGGTGGGAATAGTCCTTGACTTTGGAAGTTAATGGTATTTCAAAGTACAGGCAAAATCATTTACTAAGCACTGAAGCCACGAGCTGGCAGAAAAAATATTATTATAATATTGAGTTTATTACAATAGTGTTCTACGTCATAACTATACGTTGAACTCCAACAATAGTGATTGTCGGTCAAGCAACTAACACCAACGACCGATAGAAAATGCCAAGAGGCATTGTCATGGCTTCTATTGCCCATTGATTTCAGTCAGGCTTCCACGTGCCATAATGAATTTGATAGCGGTTGTTTGTAGGTACCTTAAGTAACAATGAAATAATGTAACATAATACGGGACTATTCCCACCTCTCGTTCCCACCGCTGCAACTCCTGTGTAGCCAGGACCTACAGCTTGACCGCCACAAAAAAACCAACCAGTGAAGGTCAAGTTTATCCCGGGGAAAGTGTATGTAATACAATAGTTAAAGTTGTTGCCTAAGAAATAACTTAGCTAGATGTAGAGGACCAAGTAGAATGCATCAAATGGATACCTAAAGCTTCTTTAGAGACCCTGAACTCCAGATACTTTGCGTTTGTTTATAGTTTAAATCATCTTTGATTTACTCATCATCACAATAGGCCTATCCCAATAATTTTCTCATCGCCCGATTGGAAGCGGCCTGTATCCAAAACCTTTCTGCCCCATTCAGTCGTCTGCGTACTCTGCCCATGGCTAGTGCTTACCAGTAATCCCGCATACAAGCGACCGCTCCAATATTCCCTCGTTCCTCTCAGCTAACAACGCTCCTGATGTCAAGGCGACCGCCAAAAAGTAGATGATCCTGGGCAAACAACAAAAATATTACTTATGACCTGTGAATATTGGCAAAACAGATCATCAAAAATTTATTTTATTTATTTATTTATCAACATCCCCAGTAAGACAGTCTGTGTTCGTTTATTCGATGACATGTCAAAATGGCATCATAGCATCTTCATCATCATCATTTCAGCCATAGGACGTCCACTGTTGAACATAGGCCTCCCAATAATTTCTACAATGGCCAGTTACTTAGTGGCGGCCTGCATCCAGCGCCTTCCCGCTACCTTATAGGTGGACAACAATGCGGACCGACGACCATAGCATCTTATATCGTTGTAAATAAACGCTATTTTACAACAAAAATGTATAGTGTGAAGTGCTGTCATCATCATTGATTCTTCGAAGTATTTCTAGGGATAATACGATACGCTAACCTGGGTAACAATGTTGGGTATTAAACAATCCTGGGCAATCCATTGTTTTCTTTCAAAGACTATTGTTACTAATTAGCTTAGTAAGCTAAATGCTTGTGTTAGGAGCAGGTTCACCACAATAGTCTAGCAAGATCGAACAAGCGTTCCTCAATTCTCCAATCGGCATTACAATGGCGACACCGTTGGGCTATTTTCGGATTACGTAAGTCGGTTTTCTTTTGGCTAATTCTTCTATTTCATTCATTTTTGAACACCAACAATTGTTCAAAGCCGAGTTTAACGGTTAAGAGTTAATGTAATGTAATACTCACGTCAAAATTACTCCAGGACCAGCAAAGTCGGTCAAATTCGGCACTCTCAGTCCAAAAACGGGCTTGTTGAACTGTAACAAAACAAAAAACATCAATTATTTGGTATACCTACTTACCTACTTTTGTGAGCTGAAAAAAATTCACTTCTCCCGTACATTTTTAGATGGCAATACTAACCGTTAGCGTCACTATTTCGCTATTTCGCCTGCTTATTACCTAAGTATCAATTTCAAAGGCATTACTAAGTAATTTGAGTTTTAAGGCTCAACTAGATTACGTAGTGGGATGTGTTACAACACATGTAACACATAAGTCTAGTAGATAAGTTAATTTCTGTAACACATTTGTTTGTAATTCCATAAACTTTTAAGTACTTAGGCACTCCATTCTAGCCCTAACGTTAGGCTTTATTAGTGGATATAATCGTTTAATATGGCTCATATAGCCACAACTACCCTACAACACTCATGAGGCTCAAGTTAATGCCCGCGAAATCGTTATTCTTAACTGCTAATCAGGTTTAATCAATGTTTTAAATGAAGTTACTGGTGAATAAATAATTAAAGACTTTCTTCATAGGTTAGATAAAGATATTATTTATCTGATCTCCCATCCATCATCATCATTTCAGCCACAGGACGTCGTCCACTGCAGACCTGAACATAGACTCTCAATGATTTCCAGACCCGTAGGTAGCAGCCTGCATCCAGCGCCATTCTGCTACCTTTAGGAGGTCATCTGCCCATGTATAGGTAGACGTCCCAGGGTGCTCATTCCGATCTGCGATCCCCCATTAAATTAGTAGAATAAGTTTGTGTTTTTATGTAAACTTATCATTACGTTTCAGCCAAATCTATCTATCTATCTATATAAATAAAAATGAATTGCTGTTCGTTAGTCTGATTAAAACTCGAGAACGGCTGGGCCGATTGAGCTGATTTTGGTTTTATAATGTTTGTCGTAGTCCAGGGTAGGTCTAAACGGTCAGCAAATAAGGAAAAATTGCGATGGCTTATTTATTGCCTTTAAGGCGGAACAGTGTTCGCGGGGTCAGCTAGTAATAGATAAAGATAGTAAAGACCTTATTATAGGTATGTAATATTAATAATTTAACACAAGAAATATGCAGCTTATTCTGGTCGTCCTAGCATACCTATAAAGTGGAAGTTAAATATAAAGAGCGAGGTCGGCATAGGTCGACTAATTTCAGACCAACGAAAAAATTCGGGTGATATTTGAAATAGGCTAGATTTGATACTCCGCTATCTAAGATCGGTAAACAACGTACTAACAAACACTTTTTCTGCTAGTGAAGAGTCAATTCTGGAACTGATATAAATACTAGGGTCAGATAATAATAGGTCCAAATAATGCACGCTGATTTCGACAACCTAACCTAAATAAATAGCAAATAAAACCTAAATGTTGTCGGTATACGTTTCATATTTCATTGCCCGAGGTAATATTAAATTACTTTATTAAATTGGATCAACCAGTCCACCAACCAACCAACATCAATGGAAAATACACTTTAAATGCACAATTATTTAATTCTGTTTTACAGTCCTGAAACCGCAAAAATCGGGTACATAGCTGCCTTTCACATGAATTGAAACGTAATGGGAATGTAAATACAATTACTCTGCATTGTAATTATTGTACACGCAAATAAACTGTATCAAACAAATATAAACCCGCATGAAAATTGGTTCATTAACGTCCGTATTCACAAACATTACTATGAGGTCTCACGGTGCGCGTGGACGCACAGGGTGACACACGAACCAAGAGCTCTATTCAACGCTGTGCGTTCAATTTGCTGCTTCACTTAAGCATGCATCGTTTGTGAATAAATGGGCGTTACTTTATTTCACGCGCGTTTTAATTCAGTAAAATGAGAGGAAACTCTACCTAGCAATTTTTTTGCGGTTTCCTGGTTTCTGAGCTGCCAAGCCGGGATTAAATTAGTTTTCTTACAAATTAGTTCAACGTTGGAAAACTTGGCACACTTAAATGTTAACTTGGAAACACGCAAATTAAAATGCCAAGTCGCTTATGCGTCTTTTGGCACAGTTTACTTATTTTAAAGAAACACAAATACTCAAGGTGAGTTTAAGTAGAATCATTTGGATTAAATTAATACTTCCCATTTCTCTTCCAAGCTCAGACCTAATCTTTCTTAGATTTAAATCACAGTTTAGATATCAGTGATCAGTACTAGTACATCACTAGCCTTCGAAGTCACAACAAAGCTAGCTGAGTTGGTCAGTTCTGTGTAAACACAATCGACTGACCCGACTCTGTTTAGTTTTAGTGAACTAAAAAAACAGTCGTTTGTGAAACTAGAACTTTTTGTGTATTGTGAATTTAAAAGAAATAGCTAATAAGTAAATAGACTACATGGCACTGCTGTGCTATGCAATGTGCTGATGTTACAGTAACTTAAATTTTCAATTAAAAAACGTCTACTGCTGTACTAAGAAAAATCATTGGGGCAAGGATTTTTAACGACCGGTCTTGTTCTACCTGCACCTGCTTCCAGACGCTTCCAGCGACTTTCACTAGATTATTGGTCCACGTGTGAGTGTGTGAACGGTCTATTCAAGAAGTCTTTTAAGGAGTCCACTTTGACACCTAGGTGATCTTATCCATGGGTGATCAAGAGACACCACAGTTTCGCATGGAGTCCACTTTGATCAGCTGGGTCTTCTGTCCCATGGTTGCCACTAGTTAAGTCAACGTTTCTACACTTGGTTGGTACGTTCTGTCACTTAATTTTGACAATTGAATCTATGTACCTAGTTATAGATCGTATCATCCACAAAACGCGGACCACCATTCTTCCGCTAATGTTTGAGTGTTATCGGTACACGCAAATTATCCATGAGTGCACACACGCACACTACAATAATGACGCTCGGATTGCTCGGATCAATCTCCCCGCACTCCGCGGTTCCCTCGACCAAAAATTGGTGGGGCGCGTCTTCGTGGATGAAACGGTCTATATGTATAATATACTCACATGAACAGGAATGGAGAGCAGCCTCTTGGGCAGGTCGCACTGCTCCGCCATGTGCTCGGTGGCCTCCATAAACGACTCGCTTATGTCCCGCGCCAACATCCATTCGATTTGTTTGTCTGTGGACAAGAGAATTGTAGTTTTATAGAAGTTATTTAAGGCAATTAGTTATTTGCAGTAAACGTTTTTAACCCTATCACTGCTTCAGGATAATAATGTGCGCCAGTGCTTGAAGCGTGGTCAACATGGGGCAGAGCTTTGTGTATTGATAATGAGGGCTATCGTTTTAGCGCTTACCAGTTGGCGCTACTGTAGAGTATGGTCATGTTACGTGGTGCAAGTTTTATTGTTGAGTATAAAACGAAGCTTGAAGCTTCAACTACATTAATTAATCGCCATCTCCGGCGCGATCTGTACACGTTAGTGTGGTTGAAGCATCAGTGAAATCGCATGACGCGTCTTCCGCACCACGTCACATCGCATCGAATCGCACCGCTGCATCTTTTTATAACGCAATCACAGCAAAATTCCACTTGATTACCACCCCACCCTATCGTGGTGCAAAACTAGTGTTTTTTTATAGCATCCTACCCGAGTGTACTTGTGTGCTAAAACCGTAGTAGTTGGGCAGTGTTCCCCAATTTAGCAAAATGTTATCTATATATATGTTACGGTCAAAGTGATAAATCGTCCCTTAGCTAACAACACCGCGTAAGTCATTTTTAGCAACTTTACAGGAGACGAAAAAAACTGTTTATTTTAAAAAATCGGTGGATTTTTGCTATTGTTACTTATTAAATACTTTATTTAGCGGTTGAGAAATAATTATTTATACTTAATTTGACGATTTACTTTATTTTAACCTATATTTTATGACTTGAGCGGTATTGACTGATATTTTTGTAGAGTTAGGCGGTGTTGTTTGCCGAAATGTAAAGGAATAAGGTATTAATAGATGATTTACAAAGAAAAATTTTATTAAGAATTATTTAAAAAATAATTAAACAATCATTATAACTTACGACCTATCCTATCNCCTGGCGTTTGTGGATTATGAGACAGCCTTCGATTCGATTGAAACCTGGGCAGTTGTTTACGCCGTTTATGTCCTGCTTCTTGTAATTGTGCACATAAAAATTCATCATATGAACTCGGAATACTTCAAGAATCAATTCCTTCTTCATCAATAGTGTATTTCACTTGTATAGCTTCCTAAAAGTATTAAAATACAGTTTGAAACACCGCCTAAGTTTGAAAAAAAAAAATTGTAAACACCGCTTAAGTAAATGAAGGTATTTTCTATTATCATTTCCTTATATATTAATACGCGTAAATCATTAAAAAATACATTATTATATAGCTTACCTCTTAATCTTCTATTAAAACTTCTTTCATAGACCTTTTCGCGATAAAACTCACTTAAAAATATAAAAATTACGGAGCGCGAAGGAACTTTACGAGAAATGTATGGCAGACTAACGACTTGAGCGGTGTTGCGAGGCAAACCGACTTGCGCGGTGTCACTAAAATTCAAATTACGGCTTCTTATTGGCTGAAATCTATAACATGTGACCAATGGTTAGACGCGCGATGAGCAGATCTATCCAATGGCATTAAAATGTCAAAACCGCCAAAAATCGACTTAGGCGGTGTTGTTAGCTAAGGGACGAAATGTGAAAATTATGAATAATCGCCGGTTATTATAAATAATTACCGCATGATTAGGTAAATGTGATTAATATGAGGTCATTTATGTGTGTTTAGAACTAAATAGGCGGCTTAGGGGTGGCCCAAGGGCCACCCCCGCCGCACCTTAACCTATTTTTCACTTTAAATCAAAACATTATGTTATAGGCATCATGGAAAAGTAATATTATGCAAGAAACATTCCAAACTCATTATGACAAATTATATTAATATATGATATCAAAATGTTCAAAAGTTTGGCTGTACACGAGCACGTACACAAGATGTTGTTCTCTTTTATGAAATTTGTTAGTACTGAGGTTGAATTATTAAACAATCACTGTTAAATGTGATTAATTTATCACTTTTACCGCGACTGTCGGTAATTATTCATAATAACCGGTTATTATTAATAATTTTCAATTTATCACATTAACCGTAACATATATAAAAGAAAGTCGTGTTAGTTACTCCACTTATAACTCAAGAACGGCTGATCTGATTTTGCTGAAAATTGTCAGGGAGGTAGTTTAGAGCCAGGAGAAGGACATAGGATACTTTTTATCCCGTTCGAAATTAAAAAAAGTCTGCTTATTTATTGCCATTAAGGCGGAACAAAGTTCGCCGGGTCAGCTAGTTTTAGATAAAAGCCACGTAGGGGCAAAAGAGTGGGAAAAATCCTTACAATGCAAGTTGGTCCGATATTTAGCCGAATTTCCAAACAAAATCTCCCACCCTTATTACAACAAACGTTCCATTATCACAAATCTCTATAAAGCCGAATTCGATTCCACAAATCCACACCCTTTATGTATCAGCAATAAATTAACGGAAGCCCTCAGAAGGGAAACATGGCTTAATGACAAGTAATCTGAAGACGCCAATGGCTGACGCTGATTGACTGTTTAATCAAGGGTGAGAACAATAAAGCCGCATTATAATGAGGGCAGTTGGCGGTTTCAAATTCCATTAACGACAATTAAACTTGGCTTTTTTTGCGGGAAAGTAGTGTCAACCTTGTTTAAATGTTTCGTCGTTCGTCGTTCGTCGTTTCAACCGAATGACGTCCACTGCTGAACAAAGGCCTCCCCCAAAGATGTCCACAAAGACCGCCCGCATCCAGGCACCTCCCACGACCCTCACCAGATCGTCGGTCCAACTAGTGGGAGGCCTGCCCACACTACGTCTTCCGGCACGGTCTCGTTTAAATGATTAGCCGAACATTTTGTAATTATGGTAAACGTACGTGAACGTGCTTGAATGTAGTGAAATAGTGCATATTGCATGTTCAAGATCTCTCAAGAAGTCTGTGCCACATCTTCATTAGAACTCAAGGGTACCTAACGGGACTATTCCCCACCTCTCGTTCCCACCGCTGCAACTTCTGTGTATCCAGGATCTACAGCCAGAAATATCATCTGGTATACATTAATTGTAATTCATTAATTTTATCTTTTTTTCAGACTTAATCTACCAAGTGTAGGACAAACTTGACACTGGCTATTTATGCAAAAAATACTAGCCAGAGCTTTCGACTTTAGTTACCTACTCAATAAATTTTGTTTCCGATGTCTTCTTAAAATATTTTATTCTTAGCTTGGTTTTTGAATAAAATTATAAGTGGACGAAATAATTGATCATTGCGAGCATGCTCTTAAAGTGAAGTTGTAATACCAACGTACTTGTGCTAACGAACCAAATGACACAAAATTCTGTTGAAGAAGAGAAAAGTGCTCTCAAATAATCTGAAAATTCTAAAATTCGTGAATTGACTGTTGTAGTACCTAGGTACGGATGAAAGCACGTCAAGCTAGTCTGTGGTGTCTTATGTAGTTTGTAATAGGTGTTATTTTGCGTTAAAATTATCTGCAATTTGTACAGTCGAAAATATACAACTGATAGACTTACGCCCGTATTCACAAACGATACTTGCTTTTAAGTGAAGCAGAAAATCGCACAGCGTTGAATGGAGCTCTGTGATTGATTCGTGTTCGTGTGTCCCCATGTGCGTCCACGCGCACTGTGAGACCTCATACTAATGTTTGTAAACACGGGCGGAAAATTGAAAAATAGGTAATACTATTTCAAGCATTGGATAGGTTAGATAAAATTCGTGTAGTTACAGCCTACGCGATATAAAAATAGGAAGAACGTAACCTAAAAACTTCACGACCTCTATTTAAAGATGAAACGAATCCAGAAGTACCAATAAGTATCAAAGTAGTTTCAATTTCATAGTGATTAAAAGTTTTATCCCTACTGCGATAAATTACTCGCCAGCGTTTTGCCGGCTAATGAATAAGTATTGTACCTACTTCAGACTTTCAAGTTCTTAGGGAGCTTTTAAGTATAAGACTGATTATTATGTAGTATGATAATAAAATACGTCCCTAGGCCTTTGGATTTTTACGTAGATACGAGTATATTACTTAAAATCGTAAGGTCTTGTTATTTTTAGTGAATTAAATTATGCGGCGTACCGCTAGCTGCCCAGGTATAAAATTGTATTAAGCATCTATAAATTAATTTCGAAATTAACCTCATTACAATATTAGTAGTTAATTCTGGACTAGCCATTCAAAAACTGACATTTACCATTATTATAGGTTCAGTCGTAATCGTAATTAGGTATTATGTAAATTGGACTTATCGACTGAAAGTTCTAACTTCTATACGAGCTTGTTGCACCTATTATCGCAATTATGACGTACATATTTTTCCCTATTATTATTATTTTATCTTTAATAATATTTAACAAAATTATTCCCTGTTTTGTTCATAAAGATAGCGTTCAGTGACCATAACAATTCTTGGGAACAACCCAACACCCTTTCTGAAAGCCAAGAAACCATGTTGGAATAATCCGCCATGGGCACGACTGCCCCATGCTCATGTTACGAGCTATCAAATTTCCATAACGGTTCCCGGAATAATAATTTGTCTATGCTAATCTACTGGAGGCTGTTTGTTTGTAATGGGTCATTGACTGAACGGATTCTGAGAAGTATTTTATTAGAACCCTTGGATAAAGCTTTAATATTTCCGAAATAATAATATGTCAGTTTTAATAAGATTAGAGTAACAGCTTCTGAGAAAAGCATTAACTTCCTGTTGAGAGTAAATGTAATAGATTACAATGAATAAATAAATTAAAATTGACTATAAAGGGCTCCAGAATAACTGTGTCCAAAAATGCATAAGTAGTGAATTAGTGGAAAAAGAGAAACAAGTGCAACCCAGTTTTTCGAGCACTATTGGAATAGCATAGTGTTTTCAAACGAAGAAAGTGTCTCAAGAAACCTAACAACATACAAAAAAAAACATTGAAGATCTATACATGACCGATTGCGATGTTTAATGACGATATTAACCGAACTATGTAGATGAAAGCGTATACAGAACTTTAAGTGCGCAAACCAGCACGCGCTTAACC